ACCCACGCCTAATTCCCATCTTCTCAACATCATAATCCAGAATTGTCCTGGCCCTGTCTGAGCAAGCCAGGAGGCCAGGCCAAGTGCCAGTGCTGTGCCAACACGGATGTGTTAGGGTGGAGCTAAATCCTGAAAACTAACAGAAAAGCCAATACAAAACTCAATGGCTACAGCACTAAGGAATTCAAGCAATGCTCTTAACAGGGCACAGACCTTGTTACACACCTCATTTCCTTTCTTAAATGAAAAGCTTTGAGAGTGATGATAAATAACCACCAGCCTGAACCAATACCGTGAGTTCTGGGTAAGGTACTGGACTTTGTACCACTCAAACTCCTGCTCACAACACTGATGTTTTATAACAGCAGCAAGCATGATTCAACAAACAAAGAATATGAGAAAAGATAAACATGGAGAAATGGAGAAGTATGACAACATGGGGGTATTTTCAGTGGGCAAGCTCTTGTTAACAGCTATTTTCACCCCCAACTTGGACATAAGCATAAAATTCAGTGGTGGCGAAGCTCACTGATGGCACAAAAAATAGGGAACGACAAATAACTGAGGAGATGAGAATGAGACTGAATAACCCCAGCTGCTTGGTGACCAGGGTGCAAAGGCAGTTGTACATCTAGAAAGAACTATGTCCAGATACACGAGGCCACCTTGGTCTGTGTATCACTGCCTGGCTGAGGCTGGGCAGCAGGATCCAGGGATACTGACCCTCCTGCAGTGATGCTGAATGATCCCAGCTCCCTCAGGACAGATGTGCAGAGAGGACTCTGCAAAGGCACCAAGCCCCACTCCTCCCTCCCCTTTACCATTAGAGATTCACTTACAGACATGTTTTGGGAGGGTCTGAACTGCCCTGGGCCAAGCTTCCAGCAGCCAAAGCCACTGACCCTCTGAACCCAGCCTAAGTCCACAGGCCAAGATAAATTGGACCACAGTGATTTACCCTCTCTTAAAGCCCTGAAATAACACACACTGCACTTTCCCAAGCATTCGAGTAGAAACAGGAGGAATGCTGAAGTGGTTTTGGTAACACACTTTTCAGTTTATTGACCTATACAAAATAATAGGTCTAAAAAGTTCAGAAGTAGTAAAAGAATAAGCAAAAAGAGCTCTCGCATTTCTAGAAGGCTATACAAATATGCAAAACCAAGGAAATAAGTTATTTTTATTTTGTCTTGTTTGGGTTTTTTTTTGTTTTTTTGTTTTGTTTTGTTTTTGTTCCTTTAACTCCAAATGTCAACTCTAATAATACAAACAACTAAGTACCAGCTTAACAAGTGTGTCCTTTCTGTATATATTACATGCTCTGGAATATTGGTAAAAAACGTCAAAAAAGTTTTATCAGAAACATCTCTGTTCACAATATACACAAGGAGTAACTAACCCTTTGTATAAAAGAAAAGAGCACCATTTATGGAATCCTGAAGCACAGTAGAGCTGAGAAATGAGAGAGAATTCACCCTATGCAAACGAGCTGCTGGAAATCAAGGAAGATAACCCATGCCAATTTGTTCCTACAGGCTGCCCAGGGGGGCTGTGGAGTCTCCTTCTCTGGAGACATTCAAGACCCACCTGGACACGTTCCTGTGTGTAGGTGTTCCTGCTCCAGCAGGGGGATTGGACCAGATGGTCTTTTGAGGTCCCTTCCAATGTCTAATATACTGTGATACTGTGATGAGGTAGGTTTATCCCTCTTAGATCAAGACTGCAGCCGCACTTTTATTTCCTACACAAATGGCTTTGTGGGAATGCTGTTCTGTCACTTAGTGACTCTGCAACGTGCCTGGCAGTTCAGATGACTCGTGGTACAATCCTAATGCCCCTCATTTTAAGGCACCCACTTGGCTGGTTTGTGTTTGCATCCACCTTAAAATACTGGCCGTTAACAATCAAACTGTTCACCATGTGAATGCTGCGGATCCTCCATTCAATTATGGCACATCAAAACGCTGTTGTCACCAGATGAATGGAGGATCACTGTGCAGCCACTGTGAGAAATTGCCTACTCCTTACACAGTGAAGTTGTACCATGTCAACAAATGGGAGGTTATTACTTACAACCTTACCATGGAAAACAGAGTTCAAAGTTTACTGCTTCTGTTGCCAAAATCCACAACTGCCTATTGCTTTACATGACATGTCAGCAAATCCTCTTCTTCCCAGAACTTGCTTGTGGTGCTAACAAACACTCTTAACGACACCTCAAAAATGGACACACTCATTCAAACCTCCATAACAATTATAAACAAAAAAGAACCCAGCCTTCCTTCAAGTAATGTTCCAATACTGGTTAAGTCACCCTTTGCGTCACTCACACACACAGCATCTATCCTTCATAAGCTTATGAAAGTCCTTCCAGGTCATCATAAGCCATGGCAGAATACACTTCTTCCTCTTCTTTCAGACATCAGAATTGTGCTCATAGAATTCCTGTTTTTTCCATAAAAGTCTCCTTTTCACATTTGTTTGTTTGGTTTTTTTCTGAGGTTTGCCTTCAACAGTCTTTCCAAAAAGTGCTTGCTAAGTATAAATACTTCAACCAAGTGCTGCATCAAAGATCAAAATGTGGCTTGTCCTTGCTCATGTAGGCTACCTGGATTCAGAAAGAAACGTCATTCATGGTAAGACTTTGTCATTTCCTGTAGGTCCCTTTTAGCGCTGAATTTTTCTTTCAAAGCAAACAGCCTGCCTCCTTTTGGTTTTTGTTCCTTTTAAAAGTCCCGTCCAAGATCCTTCTCAAGTGTCACAGCATGTTGTGCAAGGCACACAAGGGTACGAGTGTGGGGCTGCCCGTGGGCTACACGAGCGTCCCCGGCTTTGAATCCTCGTGCCAGAATAATCTCTGCTCGCTGCTGGGCAAGTCTTCTTCCAACTGTCTCTCCTCACTACCACCCAGCTGGCTCGTCTCTGCATATGCTCTGAAAGAGACACAGTACCAAGGATCAGTGAGAGCTGAGGTCTTCTCTACACCCCTAAGTGCTGCAGAACACCCTTGGGTTTACAGTAATGCTGTTTACTGCAAATCCACCCCCAGTGTAATCTGGATCCAAACACAAACCCAGTTTTTGTGCTGTAATTGGTAAAATTGTGTGCAACAGGCTCTCAGCTGCTCAGAACTGTCAAGATTGTAGGGCGCATTAATTGCTCATTTGCCATAATCACATTATAACAGAGAATAAAACAGATGATCAGATAAGTGATTCAGAATATGGAAAATTAATACCTAATAAACCTCATTTAGATAAAGCTGCCAAAATAAGCAGAGTTTTCAAAGCCCAATTACAGGAAATTAAGAAATTAGTAGAAACTGTATTTTTAAACCCTGTTGGTGTAGATCTTTTAAATCACTGCAATAAAAAAGCCCCTGGCATTTAGCTTAGATCCAGCAGAAGCTGTTCCATCTTTTACTTACACTTCTATTTATTTTAAAACAACCAAAATCAGAATTTCAGTACTTTCACACAAAGCCTGGCAGCAACCACAAACTGCAAACCACAAAGCAGGAGGCAAACAGGTGGGGTACTTTCTATGGCTGGGTACACTTAGCCTAAGTTTACTTAATGTGATGGCATTTATGGGGGCAGAGCCATTCCCCTGGGCAGGAAGTCTCTGTCCTCACTAGTAATAATCAACATATGACAGTGGGGGTGAAGAGACCAAAAACCACTAAGTAGAAGCAGCAAGAGAACTGCAGGAATCTGTGAAGACAGAGCAAACCCTGGGCTCCCTGATGTCCTCAGGAGAGCCCACATGAACAGGGTGGCTCTGCAAGCAGCAGCGCATCCTGCATGGTTTCTGGGTTAAGCTCTGCTAAGGGAGATGCGGCAGTGCCTTTGAACACCAGCACTCAGACATGAGGTTGAAAGAGGTCTTTCCTTTCCTTGTTTTAACGAAGGTTTATCAGCACAGGCACTACAATAGCACTGTGTCCTGCCACACTGGTGATGAGGTGTGCAGGAGAGACCTCCGGTCACACAGGACAAAAGGGACTGGGGTCAGTGGGTGCTCTGCATCTAACACTGCTCCGAACATCACAGCCACCCAAGTGCAGGATCTTCAATGATCCAGCATCAGCCAAAGGAAAAGACTGTGCAACAAATGAGTTTTTCCTTCACTAGGGCTGCTTCCCTGGTGGTACAGCTGCAAGTCTTCTCTGTGCGAAGTGATCTACTCCACACAGAGCAGAGTTGATCCCACAAAGTCTATTTTGTATTTACTCTTACCCTGGCCCTTTGAAATCAAGCTGATTTTCTCAGAAGTCTTAACAGCCTATGAAACACAGCAGGAAAGGCAGAAAACACTGACAGACTCCACTCACCTGCTCTGCGAAGTAAGGTTGCCATAGACATTCCCATAACAGCTGGGGTAAGAGGAATGAGACAGTGTATCGTAGTCCGAAATTCCCAATGCAAGTGGGTTTCGCCAGTTCCCAGCACTGCCTGAAGATCCTGGAATTAAAAAAAAACAACCAAACAATTGCAGCAAATCAGATCTTTCTCCAGCAACAATTCTCATGAACGATCTCTGTGGGTCTCTGCAGGACACATAAGCTAACAATGCAAACAAGAAAACAGGCTTTTGTGGCAGGGGATGGAACTGAATGATCTTTAAGGTCCCTTCCTACCCAAACCATCCTTGATGTACAAGCCATACAGGGAGACAAGCGCTATGCCGCAAGTGGTATTTTGGATCTAGGGATTCTCTTTTAAAAGACTTTCTGACCAATTCAGTGATGCCCATGGTACTGTATTTCAGAAGCCATCATAGCAACTGCATTTACATGGCATGAAGTTTTGCATATTGCTTTTAGTTGGTAAACAAGCTTCTTTGAAACACATACGGCTCTTTGTGCATCTCTGGACTACTGCCTTTATAAAGGATCAGTTTTACCAACCAGCAAGTCTTTCTTCTCAAGCATAGAAGAAGACCCTATTCAGTTCCTCACCTTTGAGGACAGAGCTCTAGCCTTGTTTCTATTCTTCTGACTTCATCAAGGCAGCAGAGGGGGACAGAATCTGATGCACAACAGGGACTTAGAAAAACACTCAGCACAGAAGAAACCAGACATTACCTGAAGAGAAAGATGACACCCGACTGCTAGGAGAGCATGGAACCTGCAGACCAGCAAAGCCCAAACTCCTCTGGGATCCTCTGTCAGACTCAAAGCCTGCCTGCAGGCTATGACCCTGCTCCTTTAGACTGGAGGCACGTTGGTACCAACCACGGAGATGCTCTGCTACTAAGGCCTTGTGAATGTTTTTGGTTATATGCTCCGTTTTAGCAACTAGCTTCTTTGGAAGCCTCAGGGTTGCATATGGGTTGTGCGGTACTCTGTCCACTTCATCCTCATGGTAGGACCTCAATTCCCTGTTATGGTCATATCCGTAATGTGCCGATGAGCGATAGGAAGAATTGACACTGTACTGTCCCTCCATGTCACTCTCATGAACATGTCCTCCATTGTAGTAAATGTCAGATTCAGTGTATGGGGAGTATCCAGAAATATAGTAACTTGAGGAAGGCTGCTCCTGGCTTTTGTGGTAGACACCATTGCAGATCTCCTTATGGGCAAGATTTGGCATACTTCCTGAATTTGCAGCAGAAATGTTTTGTTTCTTTGACCGTCTTCGACCCCTGGTCCTGTTGTCGAGTGTCTGAGTATTGTAATACGGTTTGGGAGTAGGTGTCAAGCAGTAATACTCTGTGCTTGACTGGCTAGTGTAGGATGAGCCATCATCGAGGATCTCTGTGCTGCTGTTTCGCTGGGACTTTGAGAGGGTGAAGGCTGCCTTTTCAGCAGGAGTCTCGGACATCAGCTGGGTCTGGGATTCTAAACTCCCGCTGCGCTGCCAGCAGTGGCATGGGGAAACATCTGGCCTGAAACAACACAGATGTCTGTTGGTTAAAGGTAGTCACACACACACAGTTTCAGACAGCACGCAAGTCAGGCGTGCTGCCTCCCCAGTCACAGCACAATACAAACCCAGTCTTATCTTTCTACATAGAGTATCTGCACTGCAAGTAATTCAGCTTGGCTGAATTGTAGATTTACTACAACAGTAAGAGATATGGCATATGAAAGTCTCTCATGGTGAGCAAGGTTAATCTGTGACAGCGATACAGCAAAGCTCACAAACTCACACTTTGCAGTGATTTCCAGGAGGGCCCTCTCAGTTTGTAAGTAGGTAAAGTTTACACAAGTAACTGAGCTAGAAGCAGAACACTGGAAGATGGGCTTCCTGTGGCTCTGTCTCTCATGGCTGCACTACGTCAGCCAAATAAACCGTGAGCTTGTGATAACACTAAGATTTATAGCATCTCTCCTTCCCCATTAGACAGCATGGATTCTCAGCTGTCTAATAGTATGGGTGAGCTCTCTTCTCATAGTAAGGGCACTAATCGGGATCTCTCTGCTTTATCTGGCCACTTTTTTAAGAGGCTTGTAGGAATGTAATTCACAGCAGACATCTGTCAGCTCATGAATAAGTTTTGTGGGGAGACCACTAGCTGACAGCACAATTTTATAAGCCTCACTGGCTTAGAAAATGAGGTTACAGTGGAAACGTAAAATAAATTCTGGCCATCTTACAAGTGTTTTACAGAAACCTTTTGAACAAGCATCACTTATTAAAACTCCCTGTGGCTGCCTATTTATAGGGAAGTGACCCTTCTCCTATAGTCTTTCATGATCAGATAGGCAGTATTTGTGAACCAGCTTCCATCTCACTCCTAATTTTGCAGACATCCATCCGTTTGTATATACTATTTGCCCAGGCAGGGTTTGTGCTCACATAAACACATCATAAAGCCGCTGCAGGACTGTGCCAGAAGATGCTGGCTGATATTAACCTTGTACCTCCGATATCCAGAAAAGACATTGTGAGAGCCTGACCCTGCAGCAGGGAAAGCTGTATGGCAAAGGACCCCTTTGACTTCTTAACACCATTTGCCTCTATTCTTCTGCTGCCTAAGATGGACATCACACTTAGAACACACTTAGAACTTAGCCCCCTTACTGTAAGTGGCTGCTACTGTAGGCATTGCGTGTGAGCACGGGGGTTGTAGGCATGCTTCTCCCTCCATGGGGGTGGGGTGGCCGGTCCAGAGTTCGGTAAGGGCTGTTGTGAGTCGAAAGCAGGTCCCTGTAATGAAGAGAACAATCCCAGTTAGGTTAAACACCATGCAAGTCACAGCACACAGAGTACGTGCACCCTAAGTCTTGAAAAAATAAAGTGAAGGGCAGAAAAATGAGGGAAAGGCGTAGCTGCACATGCTTCTCCATAAAAACCCAGAATTGTTAAACAGGAAGAAAAATTCAACCCCTTCTTGTGCTTCAAGGGAGATCTCAGTATGACCGGTAGGACAAGCTGCTGCCAAAGGATAGAAGTATGGAACAGAAGAGGCAGAGCAGCTAAAGAAGCAAAGGAATTGAGTTTTAAAATGAAGCACGTCACAGCTGAGTGGTTACATATGGCTATAATTCAACTTGTGAACTTCCCATGGAAGTACGCTCTGCTTATTTTGAGGGACAGACATGAAAAGTACAAGGACATGACACTGCCAAAAACTTCAACACATTTTTAAAGCATGCCTCCAACAGCCTGTCATGCAAGAGACAGTCTGAGAAATAGGAAGATCAGTGGGAATCCTTAGACTGAGAATAGCCAGCACGGGTATGGTTTGGTGTTACCTGAAGCCATTAAGCTCAGTCATCAGGAAAACTACAAGTTATTTAATACTGAAAATGAACCACAGAAATGGAGACAAAGGGTGACAGTACTGGTGGGCACAAGCAGTTCCTTAAGTACAGCACTTGGTATTGAATTTCTCACCTTAAATCTCTTCACAAAGATTACGCTACCCTACCCTTTCAGAAACCATGACAACTACTTATAAACACTTCAGTTACTAAACAGGAAATGCAGCTTCCATCGCCAAATCCTGTAAGCACAGAGGAGTGTGGAAGCTCCACTGAGTGCCCACAGTACCAGAAGCACGGCAGGGGTAAGACAGATCTGACGCCAGCAAGGCAGAGAGCACAGCAGCCCTGAGATGTGCCCTACCTGGAGTGTCTGGTTTCCAAGAGCTGCTCGTTTATGGATGACTTTCTGAGATGAATTCTCTCTACCTCGAGGGACTTCGGTGGAGGAAGCCTTGAAGAAAGCTGTGCCAAGCTGGGTCTCTGTGGTGTCACAGGAAGCGATTCGATGACTGTTGGAAAGGAATATGTATTCTGTTAGCAAAATCCTTGATATTTTGCCCTATATGCAAACCTGTGGCCCCTAAGCACAAACACTTTGCACTAGAGAGACAAGAGAAGTAGTGACTTTAGAAAGGCTCTCCTCTCCTGCCTGCAACTGAGCTCTCCTCCACAGGGACAGGACACTGTGGAGGCTCGTACAAATGTCAGCACCACTGACTCCTATGGAGATTACACCCAGCTTGGGGCTCTGCCAGATCACATATGGAACTTCCTTGGGAAAACACCTGTTTGGAGCCTTGAAATCCTTGCCAGAGCTGAGCAGGCAAACTCAGCCTCTGCAAAGGCCAGTTCCTCTCCTCACCTTCCAGCTCTTCCAGGTGAAAATGACATTTGAAGAATTAGTTTTGAAATACAGCCTGAAAGGAACTAACTTCAAAAGCGACTGAATGAGCAAAGAACTGACAGACACATTTGGCTGAAGGCAATTGGGAAGATGCTAGTCTGATCCTTGTTCTCACTTTGCTTATGGCATAATCCAGGTCCCATCAGAGCCAACAGGAAACTCCAACTAATACATATAAATGCAGGACGAGCATCACAGAGAACACATTCACAAGCCAGAGCCCTGGGTCTACTTCTACTTGTACAAGCAGGAATCAGCTGTAACACCATTTTTAAAGCACCAGATTGGTTGTACAAGTCTAAAACTAGGACAAACTGAGATCAGAATCAGGCCCTAACTGAAAAGTGAGTAATAATTTAGATAATGCTTGTCCCTAAATGATCATTATCCAGTTTAAGGGAGAGGCAAGCCAAGTCCTTTCCACCTTGTGGAACAGGGCGTGAATGTGTGTGTCTCTGGGTGTGTGTGTGAAATGAGTAAGCTGAGCAAACACTATACCCATGCAAGATGCAAGCTCACCAGGTAACAAATGTAAACAGATTGTTAATATCAGTGACTGTTCTGCTTTTTGTTAAGTTTTATAGTAGCTGTGAGGACAGAAGGGCTGAGCAAATCCTCCCTGCTGCTCATCTGCCTCTGGCCAGGTCCTAGGGATGAAGTGTTTGATGCACACACTAGCCTCAGCTTGCAGGTTGGTCACATTAAAAAGCAACTGCTTTCTCTAGAGATGACTCAGATCAGCTCACAGAGCAGAAACTTTCAATAACTAACCCATTATGAGGAAAGACATTCCTGGTTAAGCTCTCTCTTCCTTTGCTATGAAGTATTTTGTCATTGAAAGCCACCAAAACAGCATACTAAAGGACACGAAGTCAAAGGAATGTCTCCGAACATAGGCAGAAAAGGATAAGCATCATACCATCATCGTAGGTGGTGGTATCGGACAGGGAGCTGCTCTCAGACGGAATTATATCATCTGTGAATGAAAACAAGCACTTTAAGCATAGGAGACCTGACATCAATTTCCAAGTACCCCATGCAGTTCATTTACTACAGCTTCAGAGCCAGATGCTATTTACAATGCTGCTATCTCTATGCTTTAGCTCTTAACAGCCTGAAGACAGTCCTGCTTTGGAGTATAGCATGACTCAGTTGTGTTCACTGCAGCTCAGCAAGCTGCCTATGTAATTATCAAAGGAGAGCTTTCTTTTCCAGCTGCAGCAGAAATTGGGCCAATATTACAAAGGTGCTTTCCACCCAACTTCCAACAGATCTCACAGGGTGTTTCTGTGCTTCATTAGCAGTCAGGAGCCTACACAAACATGTAGATATCTTGGCTGCTAGCACCTAACCTCCTCTAGGTACACCTGAAATTCCACCAGGTAGGTATGAAATGCCTTCCGAAATCTGGCATTCACTTCCGAATGTTTCATCAGCATACAAAATCTGTTTCAACTGAATTAATACCAAACCAGAATAATCCCACTGATTTCTATCAAGTTATTGCAAATTGCAGCAACAACAGAGTGCAGTAACAGTTTTACAGACGTTACACATTTCTTCTGTTTCTTTTAGACTCATTTATTCATAAAGCTTTACTGCACCAGCCTGGCCTCTCACCTTCGTGCAACACACTACCACTTGCTCAGAAACAGCCTGTCCTCGCTCAGGTTTAGAGCAGAGCAGCAGACAAATTAGGCTGGTGATAAAGAGCAGCACTAGAGGTAATTAACCTAGAGGAAAAAAACTGTTCCTAGGCTGTTTCTGACAAGACAGCACTGGGGGGGTGTGGGTGTAAAAAGTCTACATGGACCTCCATGCATGAGGGAAAGGAAGAAAGAAATAAAGACAGTAGCAGCCAGTTTGTGTATGACACTTGCTTCCTCCATCACAGCACATGCAACGTATGTTACTCTCTCGCTGTCACGCTTTGCTGAGAGGAAAGGTCTGGTTACAAGAATGTGGTAAATAAAGCAGCTTTTCAACAGCAGCAAAACATCAGGGCTGGCCCCTGCCCTGAGGGGGGGATTGTCAGACCACCGAGGATGGGCTGCAGCTCTGCCTGCAATCTGATACTGGGAAAAAACCTTCAGGGGAGTTTATTCACGTGAATTTGACCATGTGGTGATGAAATATGGAAGTGGGCCCACTGCAAGGAGGTTAAAAAAGTCCAACTGCCTAAATCTACACTGGAGGATTCATGTGGGGTCTGCAGTGCTGACATATGGGGCAGGTCTGAATTCAAATCTCAGATCTGAGCAATTACCCACAAAAGGGCAATTTTACACCTCTGGATTACAGAGGAGGTAAAAGAGAGTGGAACATCGGAAGCAGGAGACAGTCCAGTATGTCCTTAACTTCCCATCGCTTGGGGGCTGGGATGAGAATGGCTATGGTTTGAGTCAATAAATCAATGCTACTATTTAACATGTTATTTCCAACGAGTCACTCCCCAGATTTACGGATGCAAGTGACTCATCACTGCTCAGCTTTCTGAAACCCTGAGCCCGAGAGTACCTCCAGCAATGGTGAAAACTTTACACCTATAATCAATTATTAAAGCAGAGTTCTGCTTCAGGTAAACAAAGATACACTTCAGTGCAAGTCAGGAACTGGAAGGGAATGCAGCTAACTTATGCTAGCTAAGTATTTGCTGTCTTGCAGTCCCTAGGTGCAGGGAGACCATCCAAGACAGGGAGTCTATTCCTGTCTGTCTGTGTCTTCCCTTCTCAGACAGCAAAGAAGGATGTCATGTTCCAAATGTTGCAAAATGATGGACTAAATGTATAAAGACCAACTCCCAGGTTTCTTGTTTGCACAACAGGGCAAAAAACTGCCTGCAACAAACAAGTGACTGAATGGATGCTGCCTTCAATAGCTTCCTGGTTTTTACTACACATCACATGTCCCAGGTAATACAGGATCTCCCACAATTAGTATCCAGATTGGTGAGCAAGAGACTGTAAAAACCAGATGTTTTCCCTCATCTCTGTCAATCAAGAACTAGCTGGGCCACATTAAATAGCGATCAATTAACCTTTCAGAATAAGCACTCTGTGATGACAGATAGCCCAGTGCTGCCATGGTTTTTGCTGGGTAAGAATCCAAACCAAGCTCTCAGTGGGAATGGGACACAGCAAAGGTTTCTCCAGCATAAACCTGGCAGCATACAGGAGAAGAGTCTCCTCCGGGGAAAATACAAGTTGGCAAGAGGTCTCATCTCAAGGGCCAGTAAGAGGGTATTCAATATAAACAGCAGAAAAATCTGGCATTTTCTTTCCTTCTTAGTAATTCTCAGGAAAAACCCCACTAACCTCACAAAACAGCATTTCCTCTGGGACAAAGGCAGGAGGGGGGGGGGGGGGAAGGAGAAATCAATTAAACATTAACAATTACCCACATACATTCTCCACAGAGAGTAAAACATGTCCTAAACCTGTTAATCCCTACAGAAACTAGATGAGCCTGCAATACCCATGAGCTTTTACCACTCCCAAACTCCTTCAGTTTGAGATGCTAGCAAGTTTTCCATGCTTTTATCCTGTGAAGTAGCAAGAATCTCACCTCTCTTGAGGAAATCACACTTTCAGAATGAAGGGGCCAAAGGTATCTGCTTTCACTGTGCTCATCACTGGCAAATACATCTAGTAAGAAATCTGTTTGCCACTATTTGCATTAATAAACTCTTGAACTTAATTTATCTCTTCCTGGAAATCAGTGATTTTTAATAGAGAAACAAAGCCTTTTGATCTTTATTTCTTCAACCCTATAAAAAAACCCTCACCTGGTCTATTTTTGCTAGAACTGAAGCACTGCAGAAGGGAAAGAACAGAGATCTTGCATGTGGCAGCTTAGACATACAACTGCACTCAATACACTGAGTTCAGACACCACATCAGTTTCAGCTGAGATGCTCTTGCCAGAACCTTCTATGTACAGCACCTTCAGCCCATACCGGTACTGGAACGTGTCTGCACTTGTTAATAGAGCTGCAGCTTATTCTGCCCTTAGCCTATAAGCAATGCACTTAGCATATCAGATGCAGTAATCGCTTCTCTTTTTTTCTTATTTAACTGCTTTGCAGAAGATAAAAGCCATATAGAGAAGATGTAAAAAGAACTTGTAAATGAGCCAACTACTGTTTTTTTAACCCTGTTTTCATCAGAACATGGGGAATTCTCTTGTTTACCTGCTAGAGTAAGAGTTGATTCCTGGGTTGGTTTTTTGCCACACTTGATTCTGTATTCATTTATGGAATTTTCTATCTCTTGCAGCTTTTTTACAGCATCAGCGTACTCCTGCTTTCTTTTCTTCTTCACGTTCTTGCAGAGGTCTGGCTCACTGGCAAGTTTCTTTGCAGCTTCCACCAGCTTCTGCTGTATGATGAAACTGCTCTCCAAGTCCTGTAAAGCAGGGTCCTGCAAATTCATGAGATGAGTTACTTGCTTGCACTCTGGGCAGAAACTACCAACAAAGTTTACTGAACAGAAGACCTGTTTTTGTGGTAATGAAATGAAATCTTGAGCACAAAGCACAACAATACCAGTTTATACACAACACAATCTCAGCATGCCAAATATTTAGATGTTTTTAGTGTAAGATTATGAGATCTCTTGAGAAAACTCCAACGTTTCTCAAGTCTGGGTGACATAAACACCTAAATTCAGGTTTCGACTGCTAAACCGTCTGCTTTGAGTCCAAGCCTGAGAACATCTGGTCAAAATCCCTCTCTGCTGGAAAAAAGGGAATTGGTATCACCATACCTATGTAACAGGGAGTTGGAGGCTTTAATTAATTATTTGTAAACAACTTTGAGAAGCTCAAATGAAAGGCACTGTAAAAGTTCTAAGCAATATGTCATTAAATCTGGTCAGGAGGATTTTGCTTCAATAGCATTTAAGCAGTTTACATAAAATCTGTTTGCTGTGAGCCAGGGCAGCGAATTTTTGGTGAAAGACAGATGCAAAGTGCACAACAGCTACTTACTACTTGGATGATACAGCTTGTTAACAAATCTCACGAGGAATAAGGGGTAATGGGTATGTGTCTAGAAACTGCAGACATCTGAATTACCATATCTCCTGAGTCAGTCTCTGCCAGCAGAGTTCGTATGAGCTTCTTGAGCAATATAGCGAGCTTTTATTTAGGTGGAACTTACATTAAGCCAGAGATAAATCTCCTCCTCCTGTCACCTGTCACACAACTATGGTCAGAACAGATGATTTTGCAAGGGGAAAGTGCACACCCCTGCCACATTCAGGGTTCAAGCGCAATCTCAACACGACACAAATCAATGCTCAAGAACAGCTCATAGCTATAGGTTGCCAAATGGTGTTACACACCTGCTCTTCTCTAATTAACAGCAAAATGGCTATTAAAATTCAAGCAGCGTGGCCAAATCGGGGGTTCTGTTCAGGGGACTTTAAGGCCTTTTAAAACAGCCAATTTCCTGGTCATTTCAAAGGCAGCGTAGCTGAAATAAGGGTAGTACCCATCTACCTTTCCCAGCCTATGCAAGCAGCTGCCTCCTCTTTAACAATCAGGGAAGAACTGGATTATTTACAAGTGGCTTTGGCCACCGGTCTGGCCACCCCACCTCTGCTGAGAAAACAAACTGCAGCGCTCACCTCTTCACTCAGGAGCAGGCTGTCATCCAGCTTGAATGCTGTGCCAACACGTCTCCTGACCTGGGGAGTTTCCTCTCCATCGCTCAGAGGATACTCCTCGGGCATCTTGCCTGTCAGTTCCTAGGAACAGAAAAGGCAGCACATAAAGATCTAGAGGGAGAGAAGGGCTCTCACCCACCCTGGACCCAGTGTAAGGTACAGTTCTCACCGCCTCTCGCAGGCAGATTTTCTTCAGCTCCTCAAGCTTCTGAAGCAGCTCTTCCTGAAGGAGTTTCTCTTTCTTCTTTAGTTCTGTGATTTTCTCCTTCTTTAGTTCCTCACTGACCTCTGAATCCTGAGAGCCTGAAAAATACACGCTCTGTATCAGAGGATTGGCAGGTAAAAGCCATTTTTTTTCTGATCAAGTAAGCCGAGATCTCCCCCAAGGAGCCCAGCAAAACAACACATTATCCAAAGCACAATGTCCAGCTCCTGTGTGATTCAGCAAGCAGGCTTTTAGGACATCTGCACTTTTCCAAACCCCCAATATATAAACTTGCATGGGAAGTCTCAAGTATACACCCCAACCCCACCACCCAAAATACAAATCATTGCATTAGTGGTATTTGCAATATACTTGGTTTTTTGGCTTTGCCTTTGCTATCAAGATAGACGCTTGGGCTTCACATGGAGGCACCTACATGCAGCAGCCAGGTTTCTACCTCCCCTCTTTTCCTCTCCTCCACAGTCAGGGAACAGATCTAAAGTCCATTCCAGAGCTGGGCTTTATTTGGAAACATTTATCTTCTCTGCTCATTTGTGAGGAAGCTCAGGGCAAATCTCCCCTCAGACTTTGATCAGCCACTCAAGGACTGACTGACTGGTAAATGGCATCAAATTATTCATGGACCAAGAGTATATGGGTGCTTATCCAGCCAGCATAATTTTCTTTCCTTTTATTTAGTTACAGGGGAGAAACAGCAGATTATAACACTGATGCCACTCTTCCAGATAGATAACTAATACATGCCTTCACATATGTCATTGTATTTATGGTCAGCTAGCTTCATTTTCCCTTTTAACATACCCAGTCCCCACTGTACTTCACTACCCATGAGGTATTTACCTGATGAGATCAAACTGCCATTGCTGGCCATAATAAGATGGTTCTTTGCCTCTGAAGTCACTAGCTTTGAAACTTTCGTTTTTCCCATGTCTGTCAGATCCATGGCAATGTCATCCAAACTTCTAGCTGAAGGAATTTTTGCCTGCAGGAGTTTGGGAACAAAAAAATCCAGCCTCATCAAGTTACCTCTAATGACCCTCAGAACATGAAGATGACTGTTTCGCACCTCATCTGCCACAAAATGAAGGGCAAAAGCAACGCAGGGAGGTTGTGGTGCACAGGGCTGCACCGGCAGTCCTCTCCCCCTCTGACCCAAAGCCTGAACCATCCCAGCTCAAAATCTCTTTGCTGTTTGCACTGTGTTCAAAATGAACTCCAGACAGAGACAAAAGAAAAAGCAAGATTAAACACTGAGATGTGGGAATTCCCTCTTCTGTGATTACACTTCCATAGCCCTTAACTGCAGGCAGGCTAAAATGGATTAAATAACAATAGTGTCTCTAACAGACTGCTCAAAAAGCCGACAAAAGAAGTGTAGTTTTTCTCTGGAAAGTAGTTCATCTGTGGAAAAACACACACCAGAGGATATACAGGAAAGGTGTTGAAACTTATGCCACAGCAAAATACCTTACAACTTACTTTGCTTTGCTTTCTGTCCAAGTAAAACTGGTGTTGACTGACTGCCATCAGCCAGATGGACTTGATCAGGGACGTGTACGCATACCAGCTCTGCACCAGCAGTCCACTCTGATCAGAGGTCTTTCCTGACACTGAAATTCTGAGAGGGTGAAAAGAAATGCAATTTCAAGACAGGTCTCTGAGGTTTAAAGTCCCAAGTGCCTCTGTTAGAACGAGGCAAGGCTCAGCCTTTATTTCAGAGGTGTGAAAACTCAGATTTCCTTCTTCTCAACCACCACCCAGTGCTGCTGCAAAGCCTCTTTCTTCTTGGGAAGGACCTTGTGGGGAAGACACAGGAAAGCAGCCTGTGGGTGAGCTCCCACTCTAACCAGCAGTGCTCCTGTAGGGCTCTGAAGGCTCATGCTCAGAGGAGGGAGCAGTGCTACCAAAGTGGAGAGGAGAAGGTGAGCACAAAAGTCGTGTCTGGGTCTTGTGTGCTGTGTTCCCAGGTCTCCTGCTGCACAGGCACATTACAGCAGCCTCTCAGGGAAGGGTGTTGCTGTACAGTGAGCAATGACAAATAGCCTTCCCTCTGCTCCAACAAATGCCTCAGTGGACATCACAGGCAAGCTGAGCAAACACGCAGAGCTGTAACACATCAACAGTCACTCCAGGTTGCACACTATGACTGTGACCTTCCATGCAAGCACTAAGCACTACCTGTCCATCACCACAGCTCAGATCCAGCCCCAGTCTGCCCTGCTAAGCGCAGGATCAGGCTCAGTGTCGCAAAGTCCAGAGTAAACTCAGGTCTGTGCTGGATTTCAGAGGCACCTCCCAGCCCATCCGCTAACATGAGATGACAAATCCCCAGTTTGGGTAAAGATTCATCCCACTCCTCCCTCTGCTTCCTCCAGCCTTACCTGCGGGGATCGTGTACTTCCACAGCAAATTTCCTGTTACGGAAATAGAGGTTTTCCAGCTGTTTCCATTGAAAAAACTAGGAGAATTGGGAGAGAGATGCAGAATGCGGTCACTACAAGAATCACCAATCTTCTCCCCAGAAGAATATGCAATTTCAGCCATTACAATTCCCACGTATCTTCATCTATGGCATGGACTCGGCAACAACAACATGCCTAACATCCATTAAAATAAGCACATATACATAAATATATAGGATGCCCCTTGAGTAATGTCACACTTTTAAAGACAATGCACTGCAGACTGAGGATTTTGCCCATGACATCTGCTTCCATCAATAGCACACTTCACTTCACTGCTATGAGCTCACAGAGATCTTGGGAAGACACCTAAAGTCCTTTTGTCTCCAACCAAATGCAAAAATCTCTATACAAGTAATTGCACACACACCTATCTCTTCCCTCAGTCACAACATCCCCAGGGAACAGCAACAACTCAGGGATAACCAAAACCTTTCTCTTGTGAAGACAATGGGTGAGAAATTTAGCATGATCCTTTGGAGCAGGGGTACAACACGTACAGAGACAGAGCAGCTCCGGGAGGCAGCCACCCCCAGTGTGTACTTCTGGATGGAAACCGCAGATTTCCTGCAAAGTGCCAGCCGGGAGAAGAGATCAAAGCCAACCAGGGCTTGGCAGCTGCACCCGTGGGATCGGGACTGCATAGGAATCGGCTCCTTCTGTGCACCGGCATTAGCACCCTCTGGGGATGATCCATTAGGGGCTGCACATTCCCAGTATGGCTTTGGCAGAGCTGCTCCCGGCCCCCTGACGCAGGTTGCTGCAGCAGCAGCATCTCCTGTCTCCTCTCCAGCAGTTAACAGGGTACTCGGGTGCACACCGAGACCTGTCCAGGAGTCCTCAAGGATGTCACCTGAAGCAGCACACTCTGTAGTTCACAGCTGGCTGCTCTCCAGAGCTACAGCCCACACGGAGGTACCTGAGGTACTTCCACCCAGGCTGAGCAGGCAGGGCCAGCGTGAAGTGGGAGAGCTCGGCTTGCAACATCGCTGATGCATCGAGGCACCCAGGCCATCACAGCAACAGCCTTCAGGGGTGCAGCCACCACACCACAAATCCCAGGACACGCGACATTCCCTCCACCAAAACCCGACACGTCCTGCTCCGATTATGGAAGAGCTTCAAGTTGTGTAAAATATTACCTATGACACGGTGCTGCATTTGAAATAATTAATATAGGTTGTAAATTAAACATAACCCAGTGTGTGTGTTTGCGGGGAAGCCTGGCTCTTCCAGTGGCCTTTTCCCTGTGTTTAGTTAAGGCTTTCCTTTCTAGTACTACCATTTATCATTAGATCCTGCTAAATGAGAAATGTAGCAATGGGAAATGACATTTACTTCAACTAATAAGTCATCTTCTTGAAGATCATGGACTCTGCTGCTTAAGTACGTTTACTTTTGTATCAAAGGCACCCTGCCCAGTCACACTGCTTTCAGAAGTACAACTCTTTGCAACTTGGCATTAAACTTTTCAATAAATACTTTAAATTAAAAATAAAAAAATTAAATTATTTTTTTTAATAAATCACAAAGCAAGCAGCTCACCGTCTGTCAGGACACTGAGCAATAATAGCACCCATGGACCCCCGACACGACCCCATCAGCTCATCCTCCCCGCACAACCCATCCCCGCACTCACCTCCCCACATCACCAGCCCCTTCGGGAAGCATCAAGGTCGACATGAGCAGAGCAGAGCATCCCTCCCGGCCGGCGGACACGGCCGTGCCGGTGCCGCTCCGGCTTCACCTCCCACTGCTGACACACGCCTGACATCACCGCCTCTCCCGGCAGCGGCGCCTCCCGACCCGCCCTTTCCCCGGGATAAAGGGAAAACCCAATGGAGGGGAAGAACAGGAGGGGTTGTACCGAGGGGATGCAGCCCTTCAGCACCCCTTGAGGACTTGGGGGATGCTGAGGTGGGAGCCAGCATGGTGAGGGGGCCGCAGAGGGTGGTTAGCCCCCGAGTCCTCACCCTGCCTGCACTGACTCATGCCGAGAGGCAACAGGTTCGACCAGAAGCATCATGCGTGTTCCCGCTCCCACGCTCGTAAAAGCGATGGGCGTGCTTCAAACATGACCTCTGGAGAAGGAACTGCCTCGCTGCCTCTTATCGGGTTGTGGGTGATGACTCCCCCCATCCCCTGTATCACTTCCTCTGGGTTTTTCCCCTCCGGACGCGCTTGGCATTCCCGAGGGCCTCGGGAGAAGGGGTCACCTGTCTCAAGGGCAGTGGGGTGAACAGGGTCACATCTGGCACGGAATAAAACACTGCTCCCCCACCCCCTTAAGCAGCCTTCTGCCCAGGCTGAGGGATACACCAGCAATCCTGCCATGAGGAGCTGCCTGTGCAAACCCAACACCAGCCCCTGGTGAGATGCATCCGTGATCATCCTTGTTGCTAAGAAGGAAAAACTAACCCCCTTTGCATTTGTAAGAAAAACCTGCATGGAATTGCCTCAGGATGTGGGTAGAGCTTTGCCCCATTTCCTCCCCACCCTGTGAGATCCATCCCAGGCCAAGAAGGAGCTGACAGGCGCCCCAAGCATTTGCAACCAGGTACGTTCAACACAGAGACACGTAGGACAGTGATAACTCCAGCTCCCCCCGATGCTGCTCTGAGGCAGGAGAGATGGGGAAGTGGTGTTTGAAATTCCATACAGAGGGCACATTCTGTTCTTACGGACTTAAAAGTGCCCCATCCTTAAGCTATCCCACTTCAGAACAATTCCTTAGCAATCACCTCCTCTAACAAACCCTCCCGCAGTTGGGTCCTTAAAACAAAAGGCCAATGGACTAGTAATATTTATGTAACTACACTTCAAAATAATGAAGAATTAATGTATTAATGAGTTTCGGCCCAACGTGTCTGTGGATTCATGGAGACAAAAGGAAAATAAGGCTTCAATACAAACACGGGCAAAAGAAAGAGCGTAATAAAGAATAAAGCAGAATAAGCCAAATGAAATTCTATAAACTCCCTCCAATAAAATTCTTCTAAATTGCGGTCAAAAGGCAATACTCAAACTGTCACTGCACTAGAATTTTCCTCCTCCCTTCAAAGGCTCCTTAACCCTTCAAATACTCCTTAGGACATGTTTCTAAATCATTCCTAATTTCAACCTTACCTAAACTACATGCATATTAAAAAGACAATAGAGTTGTAAAAAAAATGAAGTCTGAAGCTGGTTTTTGAGGCTGGAAGAACAATTAGGAATAATTGCAATGTTTTTGTGGAAGTCTGGCAATGTACATACTCTTTAACCAGATGATTAGGTCCACCTGAGCTAATGAATGTTTTCTTAATAGCCTTCCCATCCACTGAGATTGCCGGGTCTTTAAAGGCTCCTGAAGACTCCCACTGAGCATAGCTGGGGCTGTTTGTCTGACTGACTCTATAGGCAGAGTTTGCCCTCGCCAAGGTTTGATTTCTGTATCGTTCTGGACAAGGCAGAGGAGGTGCAAAACTCTCTGATCACACCTCATGAAGTTTTAGCTTCCTCTTTTTCACCTGTGATCCTCCCCAAGATACTACAGAACACTGAGAAAAAAGGTATTGCCCTCCTAACCCTCTTTCCCATACAAAAAGAGCTGTAATTGCAGTCTAACGAGACAAAAAGCAGACACAGACAGCTTAAGCAGTGAGACACCTTAATAAAAGAAGCAGCTGGGTTTTTACCTGGCTGATCTTGCATCCAGTTTTGAATAAAAGGCAAGTTTGTCTGGGCCTGACAGCAGGAAAACGGCCCCATCAGTACTGAAGGCAGGAGCTGGAAGAGCCCCTCCCTTGAGAGGCATGTAAAAGGGCTGCTCAGGGGCCCTCTGCTTAATATTCTTATCAGCCTGGTGCGTTTTGTTTGAAAAACACGTATTTTCTTTTCAAGGGGGTGAAAATCCCCTTAAAAGCTGGCTGCAGGGGCTGTGTGTCCAAGCACTGCTGTAGTACCAGCCTCGGGCACCACACGTGCCAGGGTTGTACCTAGGATGTTTCCAAGGCTGATGGCAAACTCTGACCCAAGAGCTAAATTACCCAGATCTCTGCGTTTCCACCCACTGGGTAAGACTGATGTGGAAGCACAAACCATGCTGCAGCATTCACAGCCTCTCCCTCGGGAAGCACATTCAAAGCACCTCGTGGTACGTGCGGTGCCTGTAAGGAGGTTTGCCAACCAGCACCCCAGGAGCAGGCTGGGAACAGCAATCTCCAGACAAATCTGGCAATTCAGACCAAGGAAACATAAAAGATTCCTGCCCACAGGAATGCACCCCACCCCAATGAAGGAAATTACCACCCTGGCGGCAACACTGGAAGAAGGGCTGTGTTTCAGCCCCTCCGCTGCAGTCTGCAGTCCGGTGTGCTACCTTCAACTGCAATACTATTCTATGATATCATTATTAGTATTAACTTTTATTATTTTTCTTGGTTTTTTTTAATTGCTGTGCCTGCCCATGGAGGGAAGCACTGCAGATGGCAGAAGAGCCAAACTGCCCCACCTGCAGCAACTTTAAGAGAAGGCAGACAGCTCCTACCTGTGCCAGCATAAACTGGCAGAGCTTACCCAGAGGCATCCTTCATCTCTTGCATATTAAGCCAGTCCTCTAAGGAAAACTCTTCAATCACATTTTTTCCTAATTGATTATGCCTGGTTCTCACTAGCATTGGCATTAATGAGACCTTTAAGCACAAAACTGCCTCAAAACATGCATATTTTGGGGCAGGTGACACTCAACTTTCCACATATCTGGAAGGAACTGAATTATAGAGCAGTCTTGTAACAGCTCTGTGTTTATTTTAAGTAATCGTGCAAGCTTAGTAACTTACATCTAAATCAATGCCTTCCACTTGGTGAGAAATAAACACTGTAAAAGAAATCTCTGCCTAATGAGATCCACCTGCTGAGAAGCCTGTACAAATACTGTTGTGTTCTGAACCATTCAGCAAAGCAGGACAGCAAATTTACATTAAGCAAATATTCTCCAAGGGAAAACTTTCAGCAT